TTTACGTGGTACTAGTACTTAGTGCTATAAAGGTTCAGAGAAGGAGGGAGCAGGGAGGATATCATGGGGAGATGGCATCTGTGTTTCCCTGAAGGAAGAAGTAAACTAGAACAGATGATGCGAAATCAGGTGAGAGAACGATGGTGCTGAAGGGGGTGGGGTTGCACCTCCACATGGCAGAGCAGGAGTGGGCGTGGGGAACTGATGACAGGAGGCCACGTCCTGGCACAGCCATAGCCACTCCCTTCCAGAGATCGCTATGTAAAGAGGAAAGAAACAACCACCATATAACTTGATTTCCATCTTCACTTTTGCTAAATATAAATACACAACTGACATTCTTAAAATATTTTTAACTGCCTTATTACAGTCACTAGAGAGTTTATTTCCTGCCCTGTTCCCCCTTACTCTGCACAGTGGTGTATCTCAATGTCCCCATCCCCTCCTCAAAGCCACTCTGTACATAAAAGAACAACAGTGAAGATTCTGCTGCGGTAGGACCATAGCCAGATGTACACACATAAATGACATTTGAGTGAAAATGCAATCGTAGGATTCTGTATGATGAACAGAGCTTGCTTACATAGAAGGGGGTGTGTGTTTGTGTTAATTCTTCCAAGTTAAGATTCCTTCTAAAACTGTTCTGATGATATTCAGAGCCTGGAGTTGGAATCTTTTGCAAATGCTACTCTATTATATTACCGACGATGGTGTGTGGAAAAAAGGATGTATATGTGAATAAAACAGACCTGGGAAAGTATTCTAGCTCCCTTCCTATCGATTCTTTTACCTTGGGCACATTATGAACTGTCTTAAGATCAAGTCTTATGGATCTTTGATCCTATAATTATGTCCCTTCTCTCTGCCATCGTGAAATTTACCCATCACTGGATAATTTTCAGTAGCAAATAAATATGCTGTAAGGGGACAGCAGAGGATGAGATGGTTGGATGGCATCACCGACTCAATGGACATGAGTTCGAGTAAACTCTGGGAGTTGGTGATGGACAGGGAGGCCTGGAGTGCTGCAGTCCATGGGGTTGCAAAGAGCTGGACACAACTGAGCGACTGAACTGAAATGAATATTTCTTACCTGAAAACAGCCCTCCCCCCGAAAATTAGAAATGTTTTCTAATTTTGTTTCTCAAATGTTACAAAATAAATTCATTAATTTAAAACTGTTGATCTTATTCCCCTCTTGAGCTATCCTCTAGTTTCTGCGTTCCCTTTCTCAGTAAAACTTAAAAATTGTCTCTTGTTTTGGCTTTGACTGCTTCCCCTCACTCTCATCTCATCATTCCACAGGGACTGTTCTTGTCTGTGTCATCCAGTGACCTTCGTTGTGCCAAGCCGAAGGCCACTGCTGTTTATGGTCTTAGTTATTCTCTCAGCAGCACGTGACAAGGCTGATCTCTCTTTGACACTCCACTTTCCTGGGTCTCTTCATACTTCCCTGGACTCTCTTCAAGTCTCCTTCTCTTGAGACTTCCCTATGGTCCAGGGGCTAGGACTCTGCTCCCAGTGCAGGGGCCCGGGTTCAATCCCTGGTCAGGGAACTAGATCCCACATGCTGCAAGAGTTCCCATGCCTCTACGAAAGATCTAAGATCCCATGTGCCGCAACTGAGACCCAGTGAAGCCAAATAAGTAAATATTTTTAAAAACCAAACTCTTAAAAAGAAAATCTCTGTCTTCAACCTCTAAATGATAACATGCCTCATGTTCCGAAATGGCCTCTTCTCTATTTATTCACCCTCTGTAGATGTCCTGTTTTAATCTGATGGCTTGCCGTAACATCCTTTGGCTAGTGATCCTCAAATCTGTAGCTTCATTCTCATACTTTCTCTGGAACTCTAGATTCATATCCAGATAGATGCCTAGGCAATGTTGCAAATTTAATGTGACTGAAAGACAACTCTGGATGTGGTCTAAACTTGTTCTTTCAGTCTTCCCCACCTCAGTAAGTGCTGCTAGTATTCCTTCCAAGTGCTCATGCCAAAATATCTAGGCCTTACTTTTTTTTTTTACTGAGAAAATAATTTATTTAATTGTAAATCAGAAATTTTAGTTTTTTTAACATTGAACTATTAATAAGATTTTTGAGTTTGTCCATTTGGATTTTAAATTTAAGTGAATTAAAAAAAAATCAAGATCCCTTTGAAAGGAAACATCATTTCTTTTCTCTGATCTTTGAAGATATGTCATTTCTTTGCTTTTAGACTTAAACCATGAACTCTCCCTACTCCAGAATGGATTCCCCCCAAAGCTTGAATTATAGAGAAGCAAGAGTCCTAACTGACCTTTGATCGCCTTTTTCTTTTACAAGCCCACTTCTTCAGGATTTTTGTTGGTTTTCTTTTGTTTTACTGGGTTGTGAAAATTTTTGGCAAGAACCGAATAGTAGGAGGCACAAAGAAACAGTAGAGAAAATGGAGGTTTCATTTTATCAAAGAAGCTCACAGTGCTGAGAGCATCAAGCCAGTGCAGTGGCTCTTTCAAGTCAATTGCTTGAAAATGGAAAGCAATGACGTAAACTGGAACATAAGCAAAATATAAACAAGCCTGCATTTGTAAATGTTGCCCCCTAATCTCCTTTACACTGACTTGCTTAGCTTTAAATAATATATAAGATTTCATAGCTTCTTTTAGAGAAAGGAATTGAATGATGTTCAGTCACAAGGACTGGATCTTCCATTGCTATCCCCTCTACTTTTGATATAAAATCAATCACCCATTTTATTAAACACATCTGGTTGTTATACTTCAGTAGCGCAAGGGCCAAGGGGAAATGAGAGGTTCCTTGATGTCAGCCCTCCAGATTGGGGCTTGATGGGCTGAGGGTTAGAGCAGGTGGTAGCAGAACTCACTGATGACTGACTGTCATGAAGTCCAGGTCTGGGAAATGTAACCCCTTGCAAGCCTCTTCAGTCCCCTGCAGGTCTTTGTCTCCTCTGACACCATCCCCTTCCTCTGGCCAAGGATCTGAAGACTCAAGTTCCAGAGTCTGGCATACTGAATATGACTTGGCCAAAACAAGAAGCATCTTCTAAGACAGCACTGCTCTGGCTGTCGTAATGGTTGAGGAGACTGGAGACCACCCACCCTGCCTCCCATTCAGTGCCTGGATCCATGCCATATTTATGTGGCAACCACATGCCCTGTGCCCCTCAAAGGAGGCACTGCCCCATGGTGATCAGCTCCCTCTTTCTACCCTCTGCTTATTTCATGCCAACTCACAACTCATTGCCAACTTACTCTGAGGCTTTGTTCTCACTTCATGCAGAGCACCCACTGGCTCTTTCAGATTGCCTGTGACTCCCAGCATCTCCACCATATCCACTGGGAATCTTGACTAGTCTTGGCACAGAAGCCAAACAATGTCCTGAGAAGGAAAGGACATTGACTAAACCATTTGAGGAGCACCAAGGTAGACTGTGGCCCTACTAAGTTCTCCTGCTGCAAAAGCAACTGTTGTGTTGCTTCAGACCCAGCAGAGATAGGAAGACACTGCAATCAAGAGGACAGCCCCTCACAGTAATCGTATCTTGTTGTCAAACACTTCCCTTTGCATACTTCTCTCCCGTATGTTAGCTGGCACACATAGAATGTTTCTGGCTTTTTCTTTGTCTATGGCAATCTTTTTTTTTTGATCAACTGATAGTGTATCCTCTCCCTGCCTCCCCAACCCAGAACAGATAACAAATCACTGGGAATTTACATCTGATTACCATAGGTTCATTCTCTCATATTACAAGGCTCAAAGTTACAAGGAGAAATACTATGTACTCGCTGTGTTGGTCTTTTGTTAATATTTTTTTTAAGTTAAAATTAAGTGTTACTTTTCTCAGGAAGTAGCCAGAATAATACTCTCTCAAATTCAGAAATGTACTGGCACAAAGTCAAAGTTATTTCTAACCACATGATACTCTTTTGTCTGCCAAGATAGCTTGACAAGCTTAATATCTGAAGGCAGGCCTATATGATAATCCCAGCAGTATTCCGGGGATAAGATTTTAGTGGGTTTGTTGAGAAGGAAATGCTTGTTTAGATGGCTTTCATCATGCCTTTGGGTTTTTACATCATTTTTCTTGTCCTTGAGGATTCCCTTGAAGCACTCCTGGGTGATGTTCAGGACCTGAGTGGGTGCTCCCCCTGAAATGGCCGTGTGGTAATAAAAATCCCGTCTGCCTAAGCGAATGTATGCTGCAGACTCCTTCCACTTCTCGTAGGTGAACTTACCGGGATCTGCCTTGTAACACCAGGCCTGTAGCTTTGCTCACCAATTCGCCCAGGGTCTCCACTCCAGACTTGTCGTGGAAGACCTGGTCCATCTCCATGCAGAAGAGGAAGTCAGCCTCATGCCAGATGTGGGCCACGATGTGCTCCCAGTGGTCTTCACGCGCATCATGAGGATGTCCGGCCAACTCCTTTCAAACACAAGCCTTTGAGATCAAAGGCTTGATCTCAAACACTTCAGTGGAGTGCAGAGGACTCAGCTCTATCAAAGGCATCCTGAAGACATCATCCACCATGATGTAAAATATGACTCTGTGGCTAACCATGAAGTGCTTATCTTTAAGAACTCCTCCAAGTAATAATGCTCAGTGTAACTTCCAACAGCAAAAACCGTCAGGCCGCTGGTAGTTTTCTGTTTGGCATAATCATCATCCCAGATGGCTCTGTTGTAAGTGCCTTCCCACAGTACAGGCGCCTTCCCTTCCGTCATGGTCACAACCTCGGGGCATCTAAGTGGGTTGAATCAGTCCGAGAGATGAAGCTTTCTTTCGTCTTCCTTTCTCTGTTCCTTTTCTTCTTTGTGGTAACCATTGTTAAGCCATTTCGGAAACCACCAACCCTTCTGAATGCTGCTGCCACCAACTTCGGGGTTTTTTGACGGGTTTATCCAGAACGGAGAGCCTTCTGGGCTGTGGCTGTATTCCCCACACACAACAATGACAGCTGAGACAACCAGCATTGACAGAATTACTTTTCCTTTGACATTCATTCTTTTCTCCGCATCGTCTGCTCCTCTCCTCCCAGAGTAAAAGGCAAAACCCACCAAGCTCTATTGAGCTCTGCTCTGCAGGAGGAGGCAAGGCTGGGAGGCAGGGAAGGTCCGGCGTTCCGACTCCGGATGTGCAGAAGCCAGGCGTGCTGGGGGCTGGCAGGCGCCTCTGCGGCGTGCCTGGGCGGGGCGTGCCAGGGTGGGGGCGGGGGCGTGGCGTGGTGGGTGTGGTCGGGCGTGGCGTGGTGGGCGTGGTGGGGGTGTGGCGTGGCGGGGGTGGGGCTGCTGGGGCGTGGTCGGGGGCAGGGCGTGCTGGGGCGTGGCATGGCGTGGCGGGGAGTGCTGTGGCGGGGCGTGGCGTGGCGGGGGTGTGGCGGGGCTCGGCAGGGCGGGGCTCGGCGGGGCCCGGAGGGGCTCGGCTCCTCCGCAGGGTGCTCCTCTCTCCTGGGCTGCAGGCAGGGGGCACTGGACAGCCGTGGTACGCACCCGCTCTGCCCAGCCCGGGACCCTAGGCCTTACTTTTGATTTCTTTCTTCTTCCACCATCATCATCCAGTCCTTCAGCAATTTCTGTCTTCTAGCTCTATCTTCAAAAACATTCCCAAATCTTATCACCTTCCCGCTGTCTTCATTACTAACACCCATTCATCTCTGTTGCACTCAGAATGAAATCCCGCCTCCTGGCCATGACTGAGCTGTGTGTGACCTGCCCCGTGGTCTGTTTCTTAGCCGTTTCTTCTTGACCATGCACCCAGCCTCATTGTTCTATTTTTGGCTCCTTGAACATGCCAAGTCCATTTTTGCTTTAGGTCTCTTTGTACTAATTATTCCTTCAGCCCAAAATGCTCTTCCAGTTTTTTTTGGCTGCACTGGGTCTTTGTTAGGGCATGTGGACTTAGTTGCCCCATGACATGTAGGATCTTAGGACCCCAACCAGGGATTGAACATGTGTCCCCCTGCATTGGAAGGCAAATTCTTAACCACTGGCCCACCAGGGAAGTCCCTGTTCTTCCTATCTTCATGTGCATCACTTTTTCTTATTCTAATCTTATTTTAAATAGAGCCAGCCCAGAGAGGCCTTCTCTGACAACTCACTCTAAAATTGCTGTCTGGGGATTTCCTTTGTGGTCCAGTGGTTAAGACTGCGCTTTCAATGCAGGGGGTACAATTCCGATATCTGGTCGGTGAATGAAGATCCCATATGCCACATACTGCAGCCAAATAAAATAAAATTGCTGTCTGGATACACTCTGTCCTTTCCTTTTATTTTTGTTCTCTACTGACAGTTGCCACTATTTGATATTTTTCTTGTTTATTTATGTATATGCTCCTTTCCCCATTCATTCCTTGCTTTCTTTTCTGTTCAGCTAGGATGTATACTCTGTGAAGGGTGTGGGGAACTTTGTCGGCCTGTTCATCACTGTATCCTGGGCTCCTGGGTCAGTGACTTGCACAGAGAATATGCTCACTAAAAATGTATGGAATGATGAATATGTTTTTCTTATCTATAGAATGCAGAGGGAGATACTTAGTCTCAGAGTTGTTGAGGACTTGCATTATCCAATCTAGATGATGTATCTAAAGTGAATGGTTCTGTGTCTAGCACCTTCTGCTTAATAAATAGAAATGATACTATTTTTAAAGTAGCTGGCTCACTATAGACATTCAGCAAAAATTACTTCTCTTTTCTTGCAGTCTGGGTCCTGTGTAGTATTTTATATTGAAATCAGCCTCTACTCTGAACAAGGTAAAAAAAAAATACTTCCCAATCAGCTTTTTTTTTCCACCTAAAGAAAACATTTAAAACCTGCTGTTCAGTGATTAGTCAACATCAGTTAATTTAGAACCATTATTAATGTCACTTCTCCCTCCTCCTCCTCCAGTACACACAGAGACACTGCATTATAATAAGGTTTGGCTTTCCCCTGGGAAATTATCATTTTCTTTCTTCTCTTTGGTTATATGATCTTTGCCAATTAACTCTCCTCAGGATCAAAGTGTTTTGGGGTTTGGTTTCCTTATCTTGGTGATTAGGTTCTCTGAAAACTATTCCTAGCTTTTGCATGTTCTGATCAATATTTCTTTTGCATTTATTTAATAACTATTTGCTCAGGATCTCCTGAGTGCCAGGCAGTGGGGGTACAGACAGAAATTCATAGGCACCTCTGTCCTTAAGGTCTAGTGGGGGAAGCAGGATCCCTGAACCAGTGAGGATAATGAAGTATCTATGAAGGGAGTCTCATGGCACAGGGTGGAAGTGTAAAGGAGAGAGGGGCTAATTCCCACGGGGGTGGGTGGAGGGGTCCAGAGCTGTGTGATTGCTCACCAGCAACAAGGAGAGAATGGCTTCCTGTGAGTAGAGATGTGGAGAGATGAACCTGCCTCAGGGGCCACACTCTGGGAGCTTGGCATGGCTGTGTGATCATCGTGGTAGTGGAAACTCTAAGGTCATGAGAAATGAAGCCAAAGAAATGAGCAGGGTCTGGGTTATGGGTGGCTCTGTGTGCCCTGCTAGGGAATTTGAACTTTCCAACAATGACTTAATAAGATTTATAAGTACCTCAAAGTTTTTTTTTTTTCTTGGTTACTTTTTATTTTGTATTGGGGTATAGCTAGTTAACAATGTTGTGATAGTTTCCGGCAGACAGTGAAGGGACTCAGACATACACATACACATATCCATTCCCCCCCAAATTCCCCTCCCATTGAGGCTGCCACACAGCATTAAGCAGAGTTCCATGTTTAAGCACCTGAAATTTACTGGATGCCGGGCTCTCTTCTTCATGCTTTGTTGTATTAAATCTTTTCATCTGTAAAATAACCCCATGAAGTAGGCGCTGTTATCATCCCTATTTACAAATAAAGAAATGTGGGCACCGAGGGAAAGGGAACTTGCCCACAGTCACCCAACTCTTCAGGGCAGAGACAGGACTCAGACTCGGGCAGTTTGGCCTAGGTTTACCTCCTTCACCAGGGCCCTGTCCTTCCTCTTGCAGAGGGCTTGTGTGGGCAGCCGGGATCTCTGAGGAGTTTGAAGTCTGGGAATGGCATGATCAGATTAGTTCTTTGGAAATATTAAATTAATATTGTAGTGGAGTAGTCGCATTGCATCTTGTCCACGGGTTCGTTTCCAAAAACTTCTAAGGCAAAGAATGCAATGTGACTTTTTACCTTAACGTAGGCGGTATCTGAATGAGGTTGGCTGTGTTCACAGTGGCATCTTATGTCTTCATCAGCCCAGCCCAGCCGCTTTCCCCCAGCTTTGTGACAGAGAACAGAGGCTTTGCTAGACACACATGGAAGAGATGAATAGTGTTTGTCTCAAGGGGCCCTGGTGTTTGAAAAGCCCCAAAGTGTCACACTCCTGCAGAAACCGAGCCTGTTTATGAGGAAAGCAGATTCAGCCTCGCCTCCCTGTCTGCAGGCAGTGGAGCCCAGGCGTTGCTTACGTAGCGATCCCTGTTTCTCTTCCTGGAGGGATCCTTGCTGGTGAGGTTGTCAGTTCGGTGTCAAGAAGGCTAAATATGCTGGCTCAAGCAACCAGTTGGATTGGATCGCTTCAAGCTTTTCCTGATTTGAAAACTTCATCCATTGTTCTATCTATTATCTTTTCTTTTTTAAATTTTATTTTTAATTAAAAATTTTTTTATTTAGGCTGTGCTGGGTCTTTGTTGTGGCTCATGGGAGCTTCTGTAGTTAGTTGCAGTGTGAGGGGCTTCTCTCTAATAGCAGAGCACGGGCTCTCGAGCGCATGGGCTCAGTAGTTGTCGTTCACGGGCTTCATTGTCCAGCAGCATATGGGATCTTATTTCCCCGACCAGGGATCGAACCCATGTCCCTTCACTGGAAACAGGATTTTTAACCACTGGGCCACCAGGGAAGTCCCCCATTATCTTTTCCAAATCTGAGAAAATTCCTTCTAATTTACAACAATGTCAGCTTGAATAGCACAGCACTCTCCACGCTCCTGGCTTATGGCTATTGATACAGGCCCAAGAAGGCTGAGCACTGAAGAACTGATGCTTTTGAACCATGGTGCTGGAGAAGACTCTTCAGAGTTCCTTGGACAGCCAGGAGATCCAACCAGTCTATCCTAAAGGATATCAGTCCTGGTTGTTCATTGGAAGGACTGATGTTGAAGCTCCAATATTTTGTCCACATGATTCAAAGAGATGATTCACTGGAAAAGACCCTGCTGCTGTGAAAGATTGAGGGCTGGAGGAAAAGGGGGAGGAGACAGGATGAGATGGTTGGGTGGCATCACCGACTCGATGGATGTGAGTTTGAGTAAACTCTGGAAGACAGTGAAGGACAGGGAAGCCTGGCGTGCTACAGTCCATGAGATTGCAGAGTCAGACACAACTTAGCGACTGAACAACAACAACACAGGCCTAAAAGTCTTCCGCAGGTCTTAGGAACTTTGATCATTCCAGCTGTTCTGCCACCATGGTATGAAATTGCTGTTTTGTTTATAGTCAGACATTGTATGAAGTCAGTTCTCCTGACAGCACTTGAAAAAACCCATTGGTATATGTTCCTACAGGTCTTTGTTATGTTCTCTGATTTTAAAAATTGAAATGATTTTTTTTAACTACTTTGAAGGAAATCTTGTCATGATTACAGTGATCAAAACCAAACTAAATCATGTAGTGCTTAAGAAAAAGAGACAGGGAAGAACACATCAAAATGTTGGCAGTGTTTGTGTTGCTTTTGGTAATTCCTTTTTATGTGTCTTCTACGTTTTTAAAAAATGTGTCTATGGTATATGCAAAATGTTAAAACTTATTTAAAAGGTGGGGAGGATGAAACTTAAAAAACAAAAAGCTCCCTGTGATCTCATAAACTAAACGCAATATATGTTCTTGCTTTGGAAATGCCCTTGTTCACATCCATGCTTATTTTTTATAGCTACAGTCCTGATAAATGCAGCTTTGTGTATTCTTTTAGTTTTGTAGCCTATGTTCAACATTATTTCATATTTCTACATAGTTTTCATAACTGGCATTTCTAATAGCTGCCCTGCATTCCATGGTGTTGATGTTCCATACAACACTGCCCGAGCTGGACAACTGGATTGTTTCCAGTTCTTTTAGGTAAGATGTAATGAGCATTTCTGTTCATATTGCATTTTGAGTTTGTTTCTTAAAGTAAATTTCCAGAAGTGAGTTCCCAGCATGGAAAGTATGAATGCAGTTCTGGCTTTTGGTTTGTACCCATAGGAAGATTCTGCTTTCAGGAGAGCTAATTAAATGTGAATGGTCACTGGCTGATTATGTGTCTAGCTGTTCCATGTCTCCCTTACCAGTATTGAGTCCCTATATTTTAAT